CCTGAAAGAGCGATCATATCCTCTTGAGTAAGTTTGTTTTTGGCAAAGAGCGCGTTAAGTTTGTCAACTTTGTCATTTGGCCCGGGCAAGTTTCCGTTGACGCTAGCCGCGGTCGACACCAAACCGTCAAATCTACCGAGTTCCACTGGGTACCACGGTCCTTTGGCCTAAACACATCCCAAAGAAAAGCTAAACTTAATCACAGTTGTATACCGAATAACATTTCTTGTTTTTGTTATAACATTTTTGCTTTCGACCTATGTTTTGATTAATAATCTTATATATAACTCACCTCGACAACAACATCTCGGGTGGCTAAGGTAAGAATATCAGCACAAGAGACTTTGTTTCTGCAACTTGGGATTGCGTCAAGAGCTTTCTTGGCTTTGATCACAACATCAAATCCATCTCCGGCCAAAGACACATTGTCGGGATGATCCTTCTCGGCTTTATTGTTAGGCGTTGACTGAATCAAGACCGACGCATCACATCCCTATATACATAAATACCAACCAATAATTTAAGAAATCATCATATGTACTAAAAGATTCAAATATAAAAACCAAACAATGAAAATCTTGAGCATTACGTTGACGAAGCAATCGTGGAAGAAGAGACGTAGAGTAGCCGGGATGGTGACGAAGGTCTGTTTGACTTTATCCTTGACGACTTTTTTAACGATTTCTTCAACATTTGGACATGAGTTTTTGTAGAAATCGTTTCTGAGTTGAGCAGTGGTTGTGTCCGGGAACACGGCGATGGTGAGGCAAAGAGCCACGACTAGAACCTGACCGAACCGCGCCATTTCTTCGGGAATTATTAGAAGTTGATGTGTTTAAGCGAGAGAGATGGTTTGATTTGATGAGAAATGAAAAAACTGTTGAAATGTATTTATAGGAACATTTAGCCACAAAAATGTATTTATAGGAACCGTGGAATGGACTTTATCATCATATTTTTAATTTTTTTAATATGTACATTCTTTGTAGAAATTTTCAAGTTGGGCCGAATCTTATATAACTTGGAGCCACGATCTTGATAATGGCCGACGAGTTGCTTCTCAAGTAATTTGGGATTTGAATTAGTAAAAGAAATGACATTTTTTAATCGTTGACTTTTTAGGTCATGCATACGCGCATGAGTTTACTTCTTTAAGCTTCTTTCTGTTTTGGGCCTACAGTGGAAATAAGACTTTTATGGGCTTTTTCCTTTTTCCATGAATTTTAGGCCCGTGAATGTCAAAGTACAAAGGGTAAGTTCGACAATTTTGTTGGTGGGTCCTATCTCAGGGAATCTAAAAGGGTCCAAAGCAACAAGAAACATGACATTTGACACTTGGAGATTTAAGAAAGGATAAGATACTCAAACGTGACCTTCGTGCAGACCAAAATTTGCAACTAAATTTTTAGAATTTATAGCACTCAGTGACCAAAAAGTATTGTGATAAAACTAAAACAAGATTCTTTTACCATTCATGTCATTTGGACAACCTAATATATATTGAATCTAGCGAAATATGTAAGATTCCAATTTTTGTTTGAATAGTTAAATTCGTTAGTCATAGATTCATAGGCGATTAATTCACTTTACTCTTGAATTGAAAAAACCAAATTGATTTTTAAATGTAAAAAGTGACAATAGTTTTAAAAACTCGGTCTAATATTTCAGTAGAAATGAAAGTAGAGACGTTTTATGAAATCGAGATGTCACCCATTGGTCATCATAATTGCTCTTATTGACACGTAACTGAAAAATCACTTGTTTAATCATCTTATTTTACTTTCTAATTCTAATAATCAAGCTCGTGATTATGAAATGGGAAACCCGAGGTTCAGAATTTCAGAAGGCCGTGATCCTTGATTTTCTCAAAATATGTTTCATAAACGAAATTTCCATTTTTCTTTTTTTTTTCCCTTATAAAGTAGCAATAAACAACTAAGAGCATCTCCAACTCCACTTCAAATTCCATTCCAAATGCTATTTTGGAGTAAAATATTCTCCAACTCAATTTCGCATTCAACTCCAAAATGGTGTAAATCTGTTTCTTTCTCCAAATATGAAATAATCTTATTTTTTACTCTATTTTGGAGTGATATTTTTTAATTTATATAATAGTCTTTCAAATTTTAATAATTTAGTAATTTTTGGTTTTCTCCAAATTATTACAATAACACATACAATTTACGTTGGAAACCAATGTATATTTGAAACACATTACACAAATGACTCAGTTAAAGACAATTGTGGACAATCTTACGTTGTAGT